ATAAATATATATATTTTATATTTTAAATTATATATATAGTGTGTGTATGTATATATATATATATACATACACACACACGTGTGTGTGTGTGTGTGTGTGTGTGTGTGTGTGTATACCTTTTCAGTTAAAAGGATAAGGATATGCTTTAAAATATTTAAAATATTTTAGGAGCTGGGGATTTAGCTCAGTGGTTCCACGACCTGCCTCACAAATGCAAGGTCCCGAGTTTGATATCCAAGATCCCCCCAAATTAAATTAAATTAAAATATTTTAGGGCCAGGGATTTTGCTCAGTGGTTCCAGTGCCTACCTTGCAAGTGCAAGGGCCTGAGTTCAATCTCTGGTACCATAAATAAATAAATAAATAAATAAATAAATAAATAAATAAAATATTTTGTAAGATAAAGTCCACTCAGGAAGATAATTTGTCTATTGTGTTTACAGTTGAACATTAGTGTGTAAGACAGTATCTGATACCTAGCATACGCTCAATGATTATTTGATGAATGAGTAATAAGAATTGGTATATTTACCATTACAACTCAAATAGAAAAGTATGGGATGAACTCATTTCACTGAATCCTCACTCTATCTGGAATCTATATACTTTTTTTAGCGTTTTAGATAGATGATGGTTTCCCATTACAGTTTTTGTTTTAACTTATTTATTTGTCCAGGAAGTACAAATTGTTTCAAATCCGGCTTACTTAGGCCAAAACAAATTCAATAGAGTAAGAAGTTTGTAGACTGATTTTGGCTGTATATCTCAAATCTTAAGGTTGTGATTAAGCAAAATCCAGGACTATGTATTTGGAAATCATATTACGGTCTGCAAAGAAACATGAGTTAGAAATGCCATTTAACATACTGTATCTCATTATTACACTTTAAGATAAAAAAGAACTTATAAATGATAAGTATTGAGTTTTAATAAATCAATAGAGAAACTAAGAGAAAGGTAATGACTTTGCCTAATATTTAGCTCCTCTCTTCTTCCGCAGAACCTTCACTTCCTTCCCTGAATTTAACTCATAATCTAATAGTTAAGTACAATCAAAGTTTATAAAAAACCATAGTGAGGCCTGGAGATATACCTAGGTGGTACAGCAAGGCCTTGGATTTGATTGCCAGAACAAAACAAAACAAAAACTGTAGGAAAAACTCAAAGAAACCAAGATGAGGAACTCAGGTCAAATCTCATGTGGGAGCATAATCAGGACAAAAGAATATTTTGTGAGACTTATCACTCCCTGAGCTCTGCTTCTTTTCTCTTGCTCTCAGCCTGTCCCACTCTTGCTCTTGCATCTTGTTGAGTCAGTCTCTTTCTGAGTATCTCTTTCTTTGTTTCCTCTCTCTCTGCTTCAGTACATGCGTGTACCCAAACATGACCCTGCAATGGTTTTTCCACTCTTCTCTGTCAAACTCTTCAGCTGAATGTGCTCCAGTTCCAAATTCTCTAGGGAAAGAAAATCATATATACCTATCTTGGGGCCCTCCGTTCCCATTCCAGACTAGCATAATGAGAAGAAAGGATTCTATAGTTCAAATATGGGAGCAATACTCTTCTTACAGGAGGACTCAACTTCGGAAATGGTAGGATCGGTAGACATCTCAGCAGGCCTATGCCATGATGCACCTACAGGAATACAGCTGTTGGTACAAAGTGACTCTTATTGTGTAGAAGTAATTCACTGATCTAAGGAGTCTATAATTTAAATCATCTTCCAACCATTACCATGTGAAAAATTATTTATGTAATCAGAAGTTTCTACAAAAATCTAGTTTTAATTCTGATTCTCAATTTTTTTGTACTTATTTTTCAACTTAACTGTTTTATCATTTGTCTGCATCAGAGACCTTTGATTCCCCAGGAGCCATTTTAAAAGCAAAAGCTTTCCTTTTTCATTCCTGTAAGTGTAGGTTGTTCTTTGTAGTTATTTTT